TAAACAATAAACAATATTAAATAAAAACATGAATTTTATTCAAAAATCTTTCACAGTATTTTGTTTTCAACATTTGATAGCTATTGGTTACTAAAATTTGCTGATTGGAACTTGAAGCTCATTCGCTGTATTTGACGGACTGTTACCCTATAGGTGGAGAATAACGGACTGTTAATTAGACAGCCTTGGTGAAATCCACCCTAAGTGACATAGAAAAATAAATACCCAGTAATAATGAATTTACTAAAACATTGGGCATGCTGACGTAGCGCATTTAACCCAATGTACAAATGTACAAATATTCATAACGCGGGAAATATAAAAAATAAAGATCATGATGAGATGTGAGATTAACAATGACATTGATGCTGTTCATCACGTACCGCCATGCTTTTCTCGGCGTAGACAAAAATCTCATATTCTGCACCGATCAACCACCGTAGCTTCCAATCCGACCACGCATCAGGTTCCTTGCAGCACTGGCGTCCTGTCTCCCTTGGGTAACTCAGACCACGGTCACCCACGGTATTGTAGAGGTTAGGTTTCTGCTTTGGCAGCAAGCAAGTGTAGAGCCAATCTCCTGGACGCCATTTTTATTATCACAGATACATGTTCACAGAAATCTGCTACGCGATCTACGTAAATTGATAAGCAAATCGTTGGAAGCTGTAATAAATTAGTAGTTTATCAACAGTGCGTAACAGGAGTTCAATCTGATAATCAATATTTAAGCTGAGATGATGCATAGTCTCGGTGTACGTAATAACTCAACCTGCCTGTTGTACGCAATTTGCCTTCGTGCTAAGAGGCCTAAGGCTGTTTGCGAATACCACGCTATTTATCTCAAATGTAAAATGTAGGGAACGATAAAATACGGTAGTGGCATTAGCAACGGTAGATGTATTTGTATGTAGTTTCAATTAAGGGACCATTAGAGGACGATATTAAATATTCAAGTATCTTCGAGCCTTCTAATTAGCACTGAAACAAAAGATAACGCGAAATCTGCCTCACACGAGTGGAACTCGCTCGTATTCATGATATCGCCACAAATATTTATAAAAGACTTATTGGAGATCAAGTTGCTATTAAATATCGCGGTCTCATTAATGTGAAAAATTGAGGATGCATTACATATCGAACCGCGAGGAAAGGAGACCCTGCGAGTCTGTAATCGGTAGCGGTTCTAATCACAGGTAGTTAATTTCGCTTATAAGAATGCCATTAAGGGTGATCAAGTAACACTAATTCCTATTACATTAACAATTGAACCGCGTTATGCCAAGCGCCATTCGATAAATTTCCGGATTTTGCTGCCATCTGACGCACAGTAGTTCAACTTACCTATAAAACAATGCAGGCAGTAAGAGACCTGAGGATCAACAGCGAAAACATTTTTAGCTACGCGCCAAGCCTAATATCTGTTATTTATTTTGCAACACATGACCAAACGTAATCGATAGGTTGATACAGAAGGCAATAAGGTTATTTAGCTCAAAAATAGAGAAATTGAGGTGTTTAAAGACAAGCCTTTAGTATTTTGTCAGTTAAAACTGTTTTTGAAGCTTCCTCCAAAGAGATTAATATTGAGAAAAGACGTGGTAAAACTTTGTATAAGTACTTAATGAAGCATAATAAGTAAATGATAAAAATTTCAAAATGATTGCACTGCTTTAAAGCCCTTTGACCTTTAATAATGTGTGGATGCACCCTGATGTGCTACGCATTCTCCAACGCGCCTAGGCATGCTTCTGATCAGGTGGTCAACGTCTTCCTGTGGTATCTCATTCCAGGCAACCACCAACTCCTCTCGAAGTGCTTCTAGAGTCTGACGAGGACGTTGCAAATTAAACTGGGTGTTCGGATTTATATGTCACTTAGTATATGTATTTTTCAAAATTTCCTAATTAATCAGCGATTATGAAAACGCACAAGGACCCTTAAGGATAACTGTTTGCACAACAGTGGGCGTCAAAATGCTGCTGATGATAATTTACCTTTACAGCAAATGCTCAAACTGTTTTCCTTCAGCCGCAATACACGCTCGACATCTTCTTAAAAAAGATCGGGTTATTAAACGAGCGAAACCACGGTTATTAACAAACTCAGCTGCTTCCAATAGTCTTTGCCGTAGCTCAGCTACATTTTGAATCGGCTTGAAATACGCTTTTTCTTTTACAGTTCCCCAGTAAAAAAAATCTAACGGATTCAAATCTGGTGACCGGGCTGGCCACGGTATTGTACCAGACCGCCTTATCCATCTGCCTGGAAAGTTTTGATCGAGATACTCTCTCACTGAGAGTGCATAGTGCGCTGGGCAGCCATCATGCTGAAACCACATGTCCCTGTAAATACTCAGTGGCACGTCCACCAATAAATTTTGTACATAATTTTTCAAAAAGTCCAAATAAACTTCAGCAGTCAAAGTCTCTGGGAACTTAAACGGACCGATTATTTTACCATTTAAAATTCCTGTCCAATGGTTTATCTTGAAGCGATATTGAGTTTATCTTCTCTCATCAAATGTGGGTTTGCTACGTGCCGCTCGTGTAAGTTATGCAGGTTCATGTACCCATCTTTCTTAAATGTGGTCTCATCCGACCATAACATTTTTTCAAAGAACTGTGGATCTTTCCTGTGTCTTTCTAACATTGTGCGACAAAAAGCAACTCGGGGCTCATAATCCCGGGACAGAAGAGCTTGAACACGCTGTACGTGGTATGGATGGAGCACATCACTTACTTGCTATTGCACACTTTGATACCGATCAGTACTCCTTCGTTTACTGCGCATCTTTACATGTTCGTGCTTGTTGATTTCGTACTGTTACTAATTTTGGATTCGTGAACTGGAATGTTGATCGCTTGTGATTTGGATTTGGTCTGTTTAATTGCTCTTCAAAACAACATTTGCTTTCCTTAGACTATCTTTGATAGTGTGATTGTGCAGTGCCGCTATGTCCGTGTACACCGTACAAGAATATGCTAACATGCACCTCATTTATGGGGAATGCAGATGCAACGCTAGTGCTGCAGCGAGACTTTACTGTGAGAGGTACCCTAATGCAGCTCGTCATCCAGATCATCGAGTGTTCACAAATGTGCACCGCTTACTGTTCTCAGAGGGCCAACTACCAAACCAATCACACAGTGAGGGCAGATCTTTCCTTCCTTACGAAGACGTGGTGCTAGGAGCTGTCGAAGAAGACCCGAGTACTTCAGTGCGTGCAATAGCACTAAAAACAGGTGTGCCCAAAAGTACAGCCCATAGAATCTTGCAAAAAAATGTGCTCCATCCATACCACGTACAGCGTGTTCAAGCTCTTCTGCCCCGGGATTATGAGCCCCGAGTTGCTTTTTGTCGCACAATGTTAGAAAGACACAGGGAAGATCCACGGTTCTTTGAGAAAATGTTATGGTCAGATGAGACCACATTTAAGAAAGATGGGTACATGAACCTGCATAACTTACACGAGTGGCACGTAGCAAACCAGCAAACCCACATTTGATGAGAGAAGATAAACTGAATATCGCTTCAAGATAAACCATTGGACAGGAATTTTAAATGGTAAAATAATCGGTCCGTTTGAGTTCCCAGAGACTTTAACTGCTGAGGTTTATTTAGGTTTTTTGCAAAATCATGTACAAAATTTATTGGTGGACGTGCCACTGAGTATTTACAGGGTCATGTGGTTTCAGCATGATGGCTGCCCAGCGCACTATGCACTCTCAGTGAGAGAGTATCTCGATCAAAACTTTCCAGGCAGATGGATAGGGCGGTCTGGTACAATACCGTGGCCAGCCCGGTCACCAGATTTGAATCCGTTAGATTTTTTTTACTGGGGAACTGTAAAAGAAAAAGCGTATTTCAAGCTGATTCAAAATTTAGCTGAGCTACGGCAAAGACTATTGGAAGCAGCTGAGTTTGTTAATAACCGTGGATTCGCTCGTTTAATAACCCGATCTTTTTTAAGAAGCTGTCGAGCGTGTATTGCGGCTGAAGGAAAACAGTTTGAGCATTTGCTGTAAAGGTAAATCATCATCAGCAGTATTTTGACGCCCACTGTTGTGCAAACAGTTATCCTTAAGGGTCCTTGTGCGTTTTCATAATCGCTGTTTAATTATGAAATTTTGAAAAATTTTCATCATTTTTTTCAAATAAAAATTGTGCATAAGTTAACGAGTAATCTTCTAAGTGTTATACCATTTTGGAACCGTTATTAAATGCGCCAACTTTTAAGGTTACTTGCCAAACTCTCGTAGTACATTTTTTTCCAGTACAGCCAGTTAAAGTTGAGCAAAGTTTTACTTTGGAATACTTGGTTGGGAAATAAGTGGCAATTTTTCCTGAACGAGAAAAGTTGGCAGTAAGATCGAGACACCAGTTTGAAGATGCATTATTCATCATTACATTGTAAAAATAAAATCCAAGAAAAGTTAATATTTGTAGTAACAGGAGTTGACAGACTGCCGTAGGGTGTGATATTTCTATATTTTTTTCAAAGACCTATAATTTTCAAAACACATATATAAAATTTTTTTAAATATTTTTCTGATAGCTGTTATGACTTTGCCTATCACCCGGTTTCGGCTTGACGTCCACTTCTGGGACACCCTGTATATTCGAAGTTAGATTTGTCATTAAGAATGATTGTAATCTCCAGACAATACAGCAACAGCGTATTTATCTATCTACAGAGAAACAAACCGTAACTATCCAGTCAAAGAAGTTTTTTACATTTTTTTACATTCTGCCCGGCCAATGAGTAGATCGATTTGACAAATTTATCGCGGTGCATAAATTGTTTGATCGTGAAGGATCGGTACGAACGTTACGAACCCGCAGGCTAATTCTAATTAAAAGTATGCGAGCCCCAGTGCAAAAATTAAAGTCTGAACAGGCCGACTGGCAAATTGCCCAGAGCTGGTCTGCATAGCTGCGGTCGATTGGATTTACGCGAGGACATGTTGGAGAGCTTTTATGGAGTGTGCTGCTGACCGTATCTACGGCCGGACCGGCGAATTTTCCGGATGCTTTCAGGGTACCGCGGAATGAGGCGCGGATGCCGTTGTGAATACCCGCATTGTTACTACATACATAAACGTCAACACTTCAAAGAACTACGCTAGAGCTACCTGAATGCATGCTGCGGCTATTTTAAAATTAAAATTTGAAATAGAATGAAGGTAGCCGTTGAATGTTAATGTTAATATTGTAGAACACAAAATATTTATCGACATTTATTTAAACACTAGTTATCATAAACTACAATTCAATTCTTAATTAAGCTACGCTGTCGAATTAAAGTCCCCAAAAGGATTGTTTAGCATGATGTTCGTGGACATTTGGAAAGACAGTTATCAATATAAGTCTGACTATAAACGCTCCGACACTCACTCTTCCCGCAAAAGGTTGTGGCTGTTGAAAATTACACAACAAACAAGGATTTTATCTGCAAATTTCGCTTCATGTTTGTATCTAACGTTGTCAGGGCATTCTTCTGTATAAAATCCATCGTTTCCCTTGATTTCAGAATGACAAACTGAAATATACTAAGTGACATATAAATCCGAACACAAAGTTTAAATGGTTTTATTTTAATAAAAGTTAGTGAATGTATTTATCTTACTGTAAATAACAAGTGATTTTGGTTCTTGACATCCTTTACGATCGGTTGCGATGCCTAGAGTACGGAGACCTGTACGATTTCGTCAACTTAGTGAGTTTGATAGGGGCCGTATAGTGGGACTTCGGGAAGCTGGACTTTCTTTTCGGGCAATTGCAGTTAGAGTGCAAAGAAGTGTAGACACTGTGGTTAGGTGTTGTCAGGCATGCCTTCGAGAAGGCCGTACGCAAAGAGCAAGGGGCATTGGACTCCGCCGTAGAACAACAGACCGTGAAGATCGCCGCCTAAGATTATTGGCCTTAAGGGACCGTTTCTCCACTACCAGGTCCATTGCAAATGAATGGTTTGCAGACCACGGAAGACCTATTGGCATGCGAAGTGTTTACCGACGAATGAGAAGTTTTGGCTTGTTTTCATACCGGCCACACTGGGTCCTCCCTTTACTCGAGAACACCGACGTAATCGCCTTGAGTGGTGCAGATAACGGTCACTCTGGGATCAGGAATGGAACAGTATTGTCTTTAGTGACGAGTCTGGATTTTGTTTAGGCATGCACGATGGTCGTGCCAGGGTTAGAAGGCGACGTGGTGAAAGGAGGAATCCACAGTTTTTTGTTGAAAGACATGTTCATCACACTGTTGGAGTTATGGTTTGGGGTGCTATAGCTTATGGTTCCAGGTCACCTTTAATCTTCTACAGAGGTAACATGAACGCGCAGCGTTATATCCACGAAGTTCTAGAACCCCATCTTTTACCCTATCTTGACACCCTGGCAGATCCAACTTTCCAACAAGATAATGCCCGACCACATGTTGCAAGAGTCACAATAGACTTCTTTCAACATAATGATGTCACATTGTTACCATGGCCACCAAGATCTCCCGACTTATCCCCAATTGAGCACGTGTGGGATATGATGGGCAGGAGATTGCTCAATTTGCAACGTCCTCCTCAGACTCTAGAAGTACTTCGAGAGGAGTTGGTGGTTGCCTGGAATGAGATACCACAGGAGGACATTGACCACCTGATCAGAAGCATGCCTAGGCGCGTTGGAGAATGCGTAGCACATCAGGGTGCATCCACACATTATTAAAGGTCAAAGGGCTTTAAAGCAGGGCAATCATTTTGAAATTTTTATCATTTACTTATTATGCTTCATTAAGTACTTATACAAAATTTTATTAAAATAAAACCATTTAAACTGGGTGTTCGGATTTATATGTCACTTAGTATACTTTTTGTCATCTAAAATAATGATTTCCCATTGTCAACGGCATCTTGTCTATGAAGGAGTTGCGCTTGGGAGTATTTGGGGCAGTTGTCTCTTTCGATATTTAAGATCATTCCTCCTGAATTCGAACGATATCGTACTCTTAGAAGATTTGTATCGACGAACCTGTCTCTTTGTTGAAATTCCATTATTTTCTCTGCTCGCTTGTCTCACCATTGTTCGATAAATGGTTCTGCGTGACATGTTTCCGTTCTGCAATATTCGCCAAATTTCAGCTTTGGTACTTTTTATGTTTAATGTATACGACATCTTAACGGGGCTCCTACAATCACGAGCACCATCACAAAAGGAAACGAGGGTGGGCTGGCCCTAGACTGTCGTCGGCGATACTTTAAAGAGGAAAGGATGACTGCGGGTGCATACTAAGGCAAATTTTTATAATAACAGAGTCGGATTTCAATTAGCGATCCTTTCCTATTTTGGAACTCAGCAAGTGATCATTTAGTATTTTTCTCCCCTTGCTACTGTTCGTCGATATTGTGTTGTTGAATTGTGGTGTTGTACTCTTGTTGGTGTGATTGTTCTTGAGTGCCTTTTTTTATTAAGGGGCAATGAAAGGTCATTTTCGACCATTTTAATTACGAATGCAATGAGTTTAATTCATGATGAGGTCAACAGTAGTGTGGAACAGTTCAACTCTATAATCGCAAAATACTCGTACATTGGAGTGTCACTTCCGAAGCAGCTGAGCCCTTGTAAATGGCTTGAAACTCACTGCGTCGGAGCGGCCTTAAAGCGAAAATTTCAAAATAAAGAAATGTCGGCTGACGGTAAGTAAACAAACTTTTGTTTCCAAAGGCAATTTGATATTATTTTGTGCTTAATAAAATTAAAGTCAATGAATTGTGTGCCAAAGCTTTTAGGGCATATGTCATAAATTCTGAAACTCGTTACAGTTATCTTCCTGATTCAACTTGGAGTCGAAAAGTACAACAAAAATATTTATCGTTACAAACTCGGTAACTTAGTAAAAAGGTACTGATATGAAGATCTAGTGCTCGTGAACGGACGCAGGCGATTTGAATTTTTAACAGTTTTACGTATTAGTCATCACATGGATCTGTTCATATGAGAATGTTTTTACGCACGTATTCTGCGCCAAAAAATATGCAAATTGTTCATCATAGTATTCAGATGTGAAGCCTCTGATATGTTACGAATAGCCCAGTAAAAACGAACAAAACAACGGCTAAGTCAAGCTTTTTGTGAAAGGCTCATAAGTGTGACATAAACAAATCAATTTATAAAATAGCAACCTGTTTCCTCATTTCGTACTTATAAGGCTAAAATGTATTATTCTACATTTAAAATTTTCGTGTTTGTCATAACAGTGGCAACAACGATTAGGCGGAATGATAAGAATCGCCAACTATTTTTCAATAATATAATCGATATCTGATTTACCTTATATGGTTCTCAACAGTCTAAAAAAGTTTATTATACAAAAAACATACGATCGTATAATCTTTTCAAAAATGTGTATAATAGATGACTTAATCTGTTGAAGGAAATGTACAGCTATCGTATCGATAGATCTGCATCTAGTTTTGATTCCAATGTTGCGTTTTCTTTGTTCAGAATGAATATGAAGCGTATGTGAAGTAGCATTCACAAATAGTATAACATAGTTTTATGATTTCTCAATTTTGTTTGAGATGAAGTGTCTGAAGAGAGAAAAAAGCACGCTGCTAGCGAACCCGGGAAGGTGTAATACTAATCCGTCATCTAATCACTACACAAACCAGTCCGCTGCAAATGAGTGTCAGAAACATCTACGCATCCGTTCCTAATCGTGTCCATGCTGATTTGAATCAACGAACGGCGAACAATAGGTTCGATTTGATGCGATGCGAGAAGCTAGCCACCAACGACCGACGAACACTGCAACAGCGCAATTGTGCACCGGTTGGGGATATTTCAGTCCATATGCTACTTTTGTGCAACGTTGCAGTCAAGGATGCGGGATTATCCGAAATGAAATTTGAACGAATGAGAGAAATTGTTCCGATGAATATAGGTCAAAAAATGTATAATCTAGCATCTACACATCAGATCCTAATCGTGTCCATGCTGATTTGAATAGGCGAATGGCGAACAACATGTTCGATTTTATGCGATGCGAGGAGCTAGCCAGCAACGACCGACGAACACTGCAACAGCGCAATTGTGCACCGGTTGGGGATATTTCAGTCGATATGCTACTTTTGTGCAACGTTGCAGTCAAGGATGCGGGATTATCCGAAATGAAATTCGAAAAATTGTTCCTATGAATATAGGTCAAAAAACGTATAATCTAGCATCTACACATCCGTTCTTAATCGTGTTCTTGCTGATTTGAATAGGCGAATGGCTAACAACAGGTTCGACTTCATGCGATGCGAGAAGCTAGTCAGCAACGACCGACGAACACTGCAACAGCGCAATTGTGCACCGGTTGGGGATTTTTCAGTCGATATGCTACTTTTGTGCGATGGTGCAGTCAAGGCTGCGGGATTATCCGAAATGAAATTCGAACAAACGAGAAAAATTGTTCCTACGAATATAGGTCAAAAAATGTATAATCTAGCATCTACACATCCGTTCCTAATCGTGTCCATGCTGATTTGAATCGGCGAATGACGAACAACAGGTTCGATTTTATGCGATGCGAGAAGCTAGTCAGCAACGACCGACGAACACTGCAACAGCGCAATTGTGCACCGGTTGGGGATATTTCAGTCGATATGCTACTTTTGTGCGATGGTGCAGTCAAGGCTGCGGGATTATCCGAAATGAAATTCGAACAAACGAGAAAAATTGTTCCTACGAATATAGGTCAAAAAATGTATAATCTAGCATCTACACATCCGTTCCTAATCGTGTCCATGCTGATTTGAATCGGCGAATGACGAACAACAGGTTCGATTTTATGCGATGCGAGAAGCTAGTCAGCAACGACCGACGAACACTGCAACAGCGCAATTGTGCACCGGTTGGGGATATTTCAGTCGATATGCTACTTTTGTGCAACGTTGCAGTCAAGGATGCGGGATTATTCGAAATGAAATTCGAACGAATGAGAAAAATTGTTCCTATGAATATAGGTCAAAAAATCTATAATCTAGCATCTACAGATCCGTTCCTAATCGTGTCCATGCTGATTTGAATCGGCGAATGGCGAACAATAGGTTCTTATGCGATGCGAGAAGCTAGCCAGCAATGACCGACGAACACTGCAACAGCGCAATTGTGCACCGGTTGGGGATATTTCAGTCGATATGCTACTTTTG